CCGCATCCTCATCCTCATCCTCATCCTCATCCTCATCATCATCATCATCATCATCATCATCATCATCATCATCATCATCATCATCATCATCGTCGTCAGCCTCGTCGTCATCATCATCATCATCATCATCATCAACAGCATCAGCATCATCAACATCATCACACGTTTAGTGGCCCCATAGGGAGCTCCGCCGAAGGTCCCAGTGGCACAGTTCGCATGCGCCCCCGCCACTCATTTCGGCACACCCCTCACACGTTTAGTGGCCCCATGGGAGCTCAGCCGAAGGCCCCAATTGCACAGTTCGCATGCGTCCCCGCCACTGATTTCGGCACACCCCTCACACGTTTCGTGGCCCCATACGAGCCCCGCCGAAGGTCCCAATGGCACAGTTCGCATGCGTCCCCGCCACTGATTTCGGCACACCCCTCACACGTTTAGTGGCCCCATAGGGGCTCCGCCGAAGGCCCCAGTGGCACAGTTCGCACGCGTCCCCGCCACTCATTTCGGCACACCCCTCACACGTTTCGTGGCCCCATAGGAGCTCAGCCGAAGGTCCCAGTGGCACAGTTCGCATGCGTCCCCGCCGCTGATTTCGGCACACCCCTCACACGTTTCGTGGCCCCATAGGAGCTCCGCCGAAGGACCCAGCGGCACAGTTCGCATGCGTCCGTGCCACTCATTTCGGCACACCCCTCACACGCTTCGTGGCTAATAGGAGCTCCGCCGAAGGTCTAAGTGGCACAGTCCGCATGCGCCCCCACCATTCATTTCGGCACACCCCTCCCGAAAGTCCCAGTGGCACAGTTCGCATGCGTCCCCGCCACTAATTTCGGCACACCTCGGACACGCTTCGTGGCCCCATAGGAGCTCCGCCGAAGGCCCAGTGGCACAGTTCGCATGCGTCCCCGCCACTCATTTCGGCACACCCCTCACACGCTTCGTGGCCCCATACGAGCCCCGCCGAAGGTCCCAGTGGCACAATTCGCATGCGTCCCCGCCACTCATTTCGGCACACCACTCACACGTTTCGTGGCCCTATGGGAGCTCCGCCGAAAGTCCCACTGGCACAATTCGCATGCGCCCCCGCCACTCATGTCGGCACACCCCTCACACGCTTCGTGGCCCCATGGGAGCTCCGCCGAAGGTCCCAGTGGCACAGTTCGCATGCGTCCCCGCCACTGATTTCGGCACACCCCTCACACGTTTCGTGGCCCCATAGGAGCCCCGCCGAAGGTCTCAGGAGAACAGTTCGCATGCGCCCCCACCATTCATTTCGGCACACCCCTCACACGTTTCGCGGCCGCATGGGAGCTCCGCCGAAGGTCCTTGTGGCGCAGTTCGCATGCGCCCCCGCCACTCATTTCGGCACACCCCTCACACGTTTAGTGGCCCCATGGGAGCTCCGCCGAAGGCCCCAATTGCACAGTTCGCATGCGTCCCCGCCACTGATTTCGGCACACCCCTCACACGCTTCGTGGCCCAATAACAGCTCCGCCGAAGGTCCCAGTGGCACAGTTCGCATGCGTCCCCGCCACTCATTTCGGCACGCCCGTCACAAGTTTAGTGGCCCCATAGGAGCTCCGCCGAAGGCCTCAAGGGCACAATTCGCATGCGTCCCCGCCATTTACCCCTCAGTCGTTTCGTGGCCCCATAGGAGCTCAGCCGAAGGTCCCAGTGGCACAGTTCGCATGCGTCCCCGCCGCTGATTTCGGCACACCCCTCACACGTTTCGTGGCCCCATAGGAGCTCCGCCGAAGGACCCAGCGGCACAGTTCGCATGCGTCCCCGCCACTCATTTCGGCACACCACTCACACGTTTAGTGGCCCCATGGGAGCTCCGCCGAAGGCCCCAATTGCACAGTTCGCATGCGTCCCCGCCACTCATTTCGGCACACCCCTCACACGCTTCGTGGCCCCATAGGAGCTCCGCCGAAGGTCCCAGTGGCACAGTTCGCATGCGTCCCCGCCACTGATTTCGGCACACCCCTCACACGTTTAGTGGCCCCATAGGGGCTCCGCCGAAGATCCTGGGAAAACAATTCGCATGCGTCCCCGCCACTCATTTCGGCACACCCCTCACACGTTTCGCGGCCCCATGGGAGCTCCGCCGAAGGTCCTTGTGGCACAGTTCGCATGCGCCCCCGCCACTCATGTCGGCACACCCCTCACACGCTTCGTGGCCCCATAGGAGCTCCGCCGAAGGCCCCAATGGCACAATTCGCATGCGCCCCCGCCACTTATGCCGGCACATCCCTCACACGTTTCGTGGCCCCATACGAGCCCCGCCGAAGGTCCCAATGGCACAGTCCGCATGCGTCCCCGCCACTGATTTCGGTACACCCCTCACACGTTTCGTGGCCCCATAGGGAACTCCACCGAGGGTCTCCGTGGCGCAGTCCGCATGCGTCTCCCTCACCCACTACAGCGTTTCGTGGCCCCATACGGAACCCCACCGAAGGTCCCCGTGGCGCAGTCCGCATTGTGTTGTTCGTTTTCGTTCGCGTTGTGTACCACGCCACTCATTTCGGCACACCCCTAGCACGGTTCGTTGCCTCATAGGGATCACCACCGAAAACGTGAATCACATTACCCTGGCGACGTACCCAACCCTTGCGCAATGCGGGGCATACGTACATCAGGATTGCTACACCAGGGGCGACGACGTAACATGGACGCCTGTGATTTTGCATGCAACAATCAGAAGGCTCACAGGCCCCCGATCAAGATGTAAGGGAGTCGTAGTGGTTACTAACACAACCCCCCCCAGGGACGGCGAGGTCTCGCTCAGGTCCCCGCGGTGCCTGTGGCGACAGTTTCGCAGATCGCAGCCCCCCAGGGACGGCGAGGTCTACCTCAGATCTGCGCGGTGCCTCACTCCGCAGGACCCACCAGCAACCATCGGAAGTGGCGACAGTCTCGCAGATCGCAGCCCCCCAGGGACGGCGACGTCTACCTCAGATCCGCGCGGTGCCTCACTCCGCAGGACCCACCAGCAGCCCTCGAAAGTGGCGACAGTTTCGCAGATGGCAGCCCCCCAGGGACGGCGAGGTCTACCTCAGATCCGCGCGGTGCCTCACTCCGCAAGACCCACCAGCAACCATCGGAAGTGGCGACAGTCTCGCAGATCGCAGCCCCCCAGGGACGGCGACGTCTACCTCAGATCTGTGCGGTGCCTCACTCCGCAGGACCCACCAGCAGCCCTCGAAAGTGGCGACAAATTCGCAGATGGCAGCCCCCCAGGGACGGCGAGGTCTACCTCAGATCCGCGCGGTGCCTCACTCCGCAGGACCCACCAGCAGCCCTCGAAAGTGGCGACGGTTTCGCAGATCGCAGCCCCCCAGGGACGGCGAGGTCTACCTCAGATCCGCGCGGTGCCTCACTCCGCAGGACCCACCAGCAACCATCGGAAGTGGCGACAGTCTCGCAGATCGCAGCCCCCCAGGGACGGCGAGGTCTACCTCAGATCTGCGCGGTGCCTCACTCCGCAGGACCCACCAGCAGCCCTCGAAAGTTGCGACAGTCTCGCAGATCGCAGCCCCCCAGGGACGGCGAGGTCTACCTCAGATCCGCGCGGTGCCTCACTCCGCAGGACCCACCAGCAGCCCGCGAAAGTGGCGACGGTTTCGCAGATCGCAGCCCCCCAGGGACGGCGAGGTCTACCTCAGATCCGCGCGGTGCTTCACTCCGCAGGACCCACCAGCAACCATCGGAAGTGGCAACAGTTTCGCAGATCGCAGCCCCCCAGGGACGGCGAGGTCTAATTCGGGTCCGCGCGTGGCGTCACTGTGCTGAGCCCTCCAGCAGGCCTCGAAAGTGGCGACAGTTCCACAGATCGCAGCCCCCAGGGATGGCGAGGTCTGATTCGGGCCCGCGCGTGGCGTCACTGTGCTGAGCCCCCCAGCAACCCTCGAAAGTGGCGACAGTTTCGCAGATCGCAGCCCCCCAGGGACGGCGAGGTCAAATTTGGGTCCGCGCGTGGCGTCACTGTGCTGGGCCCCCCCAGCAGACCTCGAAAGTGGCGACAGTTTCACATATCGCAGCCCCCCAGGGATGGCGAGGTCTAATTTGGGTCCGCGCGCGGCGTCACTGTGCTGGGCCCCCCCAGCAGGCCTCGAAAGTAGCGACAGTTTCACAGATCGCAGCCCCCCGCAGGCAAGACAGGAGGAGGCAGGCAGGAGGCAGGAGGGAGGCGGGAGGAGACGCGCGAGCAGTGTTCTATTCAAAACGAATACCCAACCAAGGAAGGTTGGGAATAAAGCAAGAAGCAGGACGCAGGAGGAGGGAGGAAGGCGGGAGGACGGAAGGTGGAGACCACAGTCCCTTATTCGAAACGAATACCCAACCAAGGAGGGTTGGGAAATTGCGGTACTCACACCTGCATCTGGTTGGGTCCTTCGTCAGGCGAATTGATCGTGTGTATGATAAAATCATGTGCACGTGCTGGCAAGGCAACGCGGCCTGGACAACCCCTTGGACAACCCCGCTAGGACCCAGACACACACAAACAATCAGACACACAGACACACAGACACACACACACCTGCTCCGAACGATCGCTTTCAAATATGCTGTCCGATGTCAAACAACACGCGTGGTGATGTAATAGGAGAGGGGAGGATGATGCGGGAAGGAATCGATTTGGGACTAGCAGTCGCGTATGGTGGCGACTTGTGCGCTGGTTCCTGACACTGCGAAGATCATTGAACCTTGAACGACCGCCGCTCCTGGATAACGCAGATGGCTCAATATCCGCAACGCCACTGACGGCATTCAACCTTGAACACCCGTGCGTGGGTCGCGGCCGCGCCAACAACACACGAACCTTTGGTAACGAGGGCAACGGGGATTTCCCCAGGGGGGGAGGGGGAGAGCGATGGGGAACGAGTCGAGGAGGGGAGGGGAGCGAAGAGCTTCCCCGGAGTGCCAGATGGCCCTCCTGGAGATTGCTCATGTCCCAGCGCTTGTCCTGCGCGGATCACCTTTATAAACCAACATGTAAACTATGACGATGCTGGCCCACGTACTCTCACCGTCGTGCCGCCGTTGACGGTGGTGAGAGCCTGTGGGCGGCTGAACCACCCCCTGCCTCTCCCACAGATGGGCACTTTAATGACCTTGTCGCTGATTAAATTGGCAACATGGGCTGGGGGCAAGACTGCCTCATCCCCGTGGCAAGCCTCCAAACCGAGGATCTTTCGACGACCAGGAATTGGTCTGCTTGTGAGGCTCACGCGTCTGCCTTTCCCATTTCCCCCTTGCAAGCGTGTGGTCCGCTTCTGTGCCTCGTGGCGTAGCGGGCGTGTGAAAATGCGATGTGCTGCCTGCTAGCATCATGGGAAGTCTCCGTTGGCATCGCCCCATCCGTTTAAGCCCAAGCGCTTGCATCACCCTTCCAAATCTAGGTGGGCAGACCGACGCCGTCCCAGCGGTAGCCTCCGCAGCGCCCAATACAACTTCCCGGGGCAGTCCAAACGGGCATCCAAACTGCTCAAGGTGCCTCAAAGAAGACTCAAGCGCCTGAGAGGCCATGAAATACCAGAATGGAGGCCCCAAGGGCGCCTAAGAGAGGCCGTGCTCCAATCATTGCAAACCTGCAGCTGTCAAATAAGTATGCCTTCCAGCGTGTTTCGGCTCAGGATGGCCCCTGGTGCTCCCAATATTACCGACAGACTGCCCCAGAGCAACCCAAGAACCTGTCAATACACTGTTCAAGGGGACTCCAAAAGGGCCCCAAAAGAGAGGAGCCCCAGCGGACGCGAAAACATCCAAAGACCGCCTAAGAGGGGCCCGAGAAACACAAGATGCTGACAGGGAGACTCGGGAGGCCTCTGAGATAAGCCAGAAGTCCCAAGAAGCCCCACGAGTCATTGACAAATATTCCTCCCCCCGCCCCACCCCCCCGCCACCGCCCCTCTCACCCGCCACGGCTCTTCTCTATCCGACAAAACATGACAAATCATGACAGGACCACTTGCATATGAGGGGAGGGCGTACGGAGTGCTGCGACGGCACGGTCCGCGGCAGAAGTTGCCGCGGGCAACTGAAGATTCGCTAATCAATTCTTGCACGGGCACCAACGAATATTGCAAAAACTTTGTGAACATGCCCCAACGTGTTCGGTAAACGGGCGGGTTCCCATGTTCCCCGGCTCGCGGGTTCTCAGGTGCCTGGCTGCGGCAGGGTTCCCGGAACTCCAAGAGCACAGAAAAAGGACAGACTAAGTAGAGTGCAGAGGGTGAGGGCTTTGAGCAGATATCAGAAAGCAGAAACGCAGAGAGCCAATAGCAGAGAGCAGTGAGCGAAGAGCAAACAGTACGCAGTCGAAACATAACAAGTAGAGAGTGGGTGCAGAGGATGGAGGGTAAGTAATTAAATGGGAGAGAGAGGGTGCGAAGTAGACAGCAGAAAACGCTACACTCGCTACTCCCTGCTCATTGGAATCAAACACGCCTGTGCACAATTATGCGATGATCTCCTCAGAAGAGCCTTCGAAACAACCGCAAAGGGACCTGGGTGGCTTGCCCCAGGAGACCAGGGGCCGGGGGAAACAAGACACGTCAAGACATTTTCTGGCGTCTGAGACTCCTCCAATGCTCTACTGGGGTCCTTCAGCGAACAAGCGACAGAGCCAACCATTATCGCCAAACCCCGCAGAGCCCCGCGGACCCGTTGGGGCTACACTCGGCGCAAAGGGTCAATGATTAAGGACCTTCGAACCATTCAGGGCCAGTGTGGGCGAATGCTGAACAGGGGATAGGCAGGCGTGGAGTGTATGGGCTGTTTGAAACTGTTCCTGGATTGCGTGAGGGCTGTCCTAGGACTCGCTGCCTCGCTTCGGGGGCGCCTTAGGGGCTTTGGGGGGGCTCTGGAGGCCTCTGGGGGGGTCATTGGAATCTACTATGCCGTCTTGGCGTGTCTTTCTACTCTTTGGTTTTGGGGCATTCCTGGCCCCTTCCGCAAGCTCTCTTTGGCCGGCTTGGAGTCGTCCTGGAACGCTCTGGGGGCGTCCAGGCCCATTATTCAAGCGCTGTTGGGCCGTCTCGGAACCCCCTTAAGAGCTCCTAAAGCTGTATAAGTGATACAAGCACTGCACAGTGCGTCAACTTTGGTGTTCTCCTGACGTGGAGTGTCTGGGGACTTTCCTGGGGCCTGTTGGAACCACTCTTGAGGCATATTCTGGTCTCTTGGGGGCGTCGTGGAGACATCGCGGAGGATCTTCGACCATCACGGGCCATCCTGACGGCCTCGGGGCGACATCCAAAACCACCTTGGAAGACACTAGAGACCTACACAACTCCCCAACACTCCGAAAACGGATCCCAGTGGTGGAAGGACATGTTCACAAAAAGAACGCCGCAACTAGACCCTGGTAACCGATTTGACTATGCCTGTCTTGAGAGGCAGAATTTTACTTCCGCTGGCCTGTCGGCATCCGCCGCGGCAGTGGCGGCCTCGTTTTACTTCCGCCGCCTTCCGCCAGCCTTCCGCCACCTTCTGCCAAGGAAAAGAAGGAACCTCCTTCGATCCTCCCTCGAAAGCGAGGCCCTGTCCGGAGCGCCCCATGTATGTGCATGACAAGCATGCTGTCTTCGCACGTCCTCAGAATGATTATTCTGTTTTGCTAGAGACAGCCCCTCCACCCACACAACGCCACCTGTCGCTCTGAGGTTGTAATCCTTCTAGACCTTCCCTTGCCTGTGCGATGTGGTATGTCGAGCTTCGAGGCTCGGACGCATGGGCAGCTGATGTTGACAAGATCCACACCCCTCACCGACTTTCGGTGTCCAAGCTGCCAGGCCTGGATCGCCAACTTCGCCTCTGGCTCGAAGTCCTGCACCCACAGCTTCATCAACACCTTTCCAGGGGCATCGATCGCTCCGCCTCCTCCCCCGCCTTCCCTTCGTCCTTCCGTCCTCATCCCCCTTCGCCTGCCTCTTCTCCTCACCTCATCCACCTATCTTCAGATTCTTCCCCCTCCTCCTCCTCCTCCTCCTCCTCCTCCTCCTCCTCCTCCTCCTCCTCCTCCTCCTCCCCCATAACCGAAATCATCTCAATCCGCGTCTGCATTCCCCTCTCTCTCTCTCTCGTCCTGCTCCCCCTTGTCCTCCCCGTCTTCGTCCTGGTCATCCTCCGACTCCTCCCCCTCTTTGTTCCCCTCCCCCATCTTCCGGTCAGTTCCCCCCCTCAATTTTCTCCGACTTCTCCGCCCACTGCTGCTCCCGCGCGAGACCTTTCGCTCGGGGTGCCGGGCCTGGAACTCCTGGAGGCAGTGCAAGCGCCTGTTGTTCAAGCAATAGTACACGGCAGGATGATGCGGCCCACGGGAGTCCTCATGAGCGGCGAACATCCGAATCCATGCCATCGCGGTGCACACTCCAAAGCTCCGCGACTGCTTGGCGCGAAAGTGTCGCTGGGAGCGTATCCATAGGATAGCGCACGGGATCGCGATTACGGCAGATCATGTATGAGGATATGTTCGTCGCTCACGACGACGACATCGGCGGCGACGTCGACGACGGCGGCGGCAACGGGAGGCCTCTGGAGGTTTCCAGAGGTCTCCATCGACAACGGCGCCAGCCATGTCGACGGCGACGACGAAGACGGCGTCGACGTCCTGCTGGAAGCCACGCAGCTCCAGGAACCAGTCCTTGAGGGAGAACGTTAGGGAGGGACCGGCTGGAATCGGAGACACAATGCCGATAGATAGGCGATGGGCCCTCGACAGCGAATCCGCATGTTCCTGGGCCTGGTGAAATACTGTAGGGCCCCTATCGGCAACGGATGGGCGATTGGGGGTCGATGCGTTACCCCCCCGAGCCTACCCCCCCGAACCTTGCCCCTGAGTCCTTCAGCGGGTCGATCCTGCCGCTCTCGAGCCCCGCGAGGAGGTCCTCGAAGCTCTGGCCGTCGCTGAATTGGTGCTTCACGGACTCCTGCGTGAACCTCACCTTGCCGACGGGCAACGTCAAGACCTTTCAAATGGGAGTCTCTCAAATAGGACCCCTAGGGGCCAGAGCGGGTGGACCCCTAGGGGCCAGAGCGGATGGAGCCGGAAGATCGCAACGCATCGCCGATGTGTCGCCGATACACGGGCGACGTCGGGTTGGAGAGTCTGACTCTGGATCCCGACGCATCACCGATGCATTGGCTATGCGGCTTGATTCTCCGAACCCACCTGCTCCGTCTCAATTTGGGAAGCCTGGAGTTCAGAGGGGGCAGATCTGCAGGGACAAAAACTGCTCGGGGCGGGCATGTTCAACCAAGGGTCGAGCGGCAGCAAGCTTGGGTCGAATGCTCCTTGCCTCCAGGCCTGGGGCGAGGCAACTCGATTGCAACTGGAAGAAACACTTCCCGACCTGGGACACATGTCCCGGGACATGTCTCCATTGCTCATTTGATCAACGTGTACGACATACTTGCGTAAGCGTGCACGTCTGATCATCTGACGCAACATCAATAGCTCACGTGCATCATGCAATGCATCTGCAGACTGTCAAGAGCCCCACAAGCGGAATAACATGTCAAAATCAAGATGTATTGATCACCCACTTCTACCTCGTAATTCTGAGCTGGTGCCCGAATCCACCGTGACGTCCGCCAGCACTGCCATTCCTTAATCTCCTGGAAGAATGGGCAAGGACAATAGTCACATACGCCAACTGCCCCCCTCCCCTATACAATTGATATCTTATGCTACGCGGTTTCGGGACCTTGCCAATCACATCGCGTCGCTATTCGCGTGGAATCTACGTCGAATCCACGTCGAATCTGCGTCGGACCCACGCCGAATCCACGTGGATTCCGCGTCGGTTCCACATCGGATGCGAAAAAAAACGCCACACAACGCATATAACAACTCCTGCCGAATCCGCCGGCCCCCTTGTGGGGCCACCAAGCTGTAGGACGAGGGTTTGCTGTTCCCTGCACCAGTTCCAATTTCCAGTGTCCACTGTTACAGTTCTGCTTTATGCTGCTTACTGTTCCTTGTTCTAGACCGCGCGAGGGGGGGAGCCGAAAACAGTCCTTGGTAGCACCTCCAGGGAGGGGTCTCAAAATTTCTGGGGGAGGTCGAAAGCGACACCCCTCACGCAGATCGGCGGGATCAGGGTCCAGAAACACATGGGATTTGCAACATTTCTGAAATTCGGTCACACCCCTCACGCAGATCGCCGGGGTCAGAGTCGAAAAACACATGGGATTTGAGACATTTCTGAAATTCGGTAGCACCCCTCACGCAGATCGGCGGGATTACAATCGAAAAAACGATAGGATCTGATATGTTTCTGCAAATCCGGCGGCACCCCTCATGCAGATCGGCGGCTTCGGGTCCAAAAACTCATGGGATTTGCCACATGTCTAAAAATCCGGTGGCGCCCCTTACGCATATCGGCGGGGTCAGGGTCCAATTCGCCTGACGAAGGACCCAACCATATGCAGGTGTGAGTACCGCAATTGTGATTCACTTTTTCGGTGGTGATCCCTATGAAGCAACGAACTGTGCTAGGGGTGTGCCGAAATGAGTGGTGTGGTACACAACGCGAACGAAAACGAACAACACAATGCGGACTGCGCCACGGAGACCTTCGGTGGGGCTCCATATGAGGCCACGAAGCGCTGTACTGGGTGAGGGAGACGCATCCAGACTGCGCCACGGGGGCCCTCGGTGGAGTTCCCTGTGTGGCCACGAAACGTGTGAGGGGTGTGCCGAAATGAATGGCGGGGACGCGTGCGGACTGTGCCACTGGGACCTTCGGCGGCGCCCCGATGGGGCCACGAAATGTGTGAGTGGCCTGCCGAAATGAATGACGGGGGCGCGTGCGAACTGTGCCACTGGGACCTTCGGCGGAGCTCCTTTGGGGCCACGAAGCGTGTGAGGGGTGTGCCGACATGAGTGGCGGGGACGCACGCGAACTGTGCCACTGGGACCTTCGGCGGAGCTCCTATGGGGCCACGAAGCGTGTGAGGGGTGTGCCGACATGAGTGGCGGGGACGCACGCGAACTGTGCCACTGGGACCTTCGGCGGAGCTCCTATGGGGCCACGAAACGTGTGAGGGGTGTGCCGAAATGAGTGGCGGGGACGCACGCGAACTGTGCCACTGGGACCTTCGGCGGAGCTCCGATGGGGCTACGAAACGTGTGAGGGGTGTGCCGACATGAATGGCGGGGACACATGCGAACTGTGCCACTGGGACCTTCGGCGGAGCTCCTATGGGGCCACGAAACGTGTGAGGGGTGTGCCGAAATGAGTGGCGGGGACGCACGCGAACTGTGCCACTGGGACCTTCGGCGGAGCTCCGATGGGGCTACGAAACGTGTGAGGGGTGTGCCGACATGACTGGCGGGGACGCATGCGAACTGTGCCACTGGGACCTTCGGCGGAGCTCCTATGAGGCCACGAAACGTGTGAGGGTTGTGCCGAAGGGAGTGGCGGGGACGCATGCGAACTGTGACACTGGGACCTTCGGCACAGCTCCTATGGGGCCACGAAGCGTGAGGGGTGTGCCAACATGAGTGGCGGGGACGCACGCGAACTGTGCCACTGGGACCCTCGGCGGGGCTCCTGTGGGGCCACGACGCGTGTGAGGGGTGTGCCGACATGAGTGGCGGGGCCGCGTGCGAACTGTGCCACTGGGACCCTCGGCGGGGCTCCTGTGGGGCCACGAAACGTGTGAGGGGTGTGCCGACATGAGTGGCGGGTGCGCACGCGAACTGTGCCACTGGGACCTTCGGCGGAACTCCCATGGGGCCACGAAGCGTGTGAGGGGTTTGCCGACATGAGTGGCGGGGACGCATGCGAATTGTGCCACTGGGACCTTCGGCGGAGCTCCTATGGGGCCACGAAACGTGTGAGGGGTGTGCCGACATGAGTGGCGGGGACGCACGCGAACTGTGCCACTGGGACCTTCGGCGGAGCCCCTATGGGGCCACGAAACGTGTGAGGGGCCGACATGAGTGGCGGGGACGCATGCGAACTGTGCCACTGGGACCTTCGGCGGCGCTCCTATGGGGCCACGAAACGTGTGAGGGGTGTGCCGAAATGGCTGGCGGAGACGCACGCGAACTGTGCCACTGGGACCTTCGGCGGAACTCCTTTAGGGCCACGAAACGTGTGAGCGGTGTGCCGACATGAGTGGCGGAGGCGCACGCGAACTGTGCCACTGGGATCTTCGGCGGAGCTCGTATGGGGCCACGAAACGTGTGAGGGGTGTGCCGACATGACTGGCGGGGACACATGCGAACTGTGCCACTGGGACCTTCGGCGGAACTCCTATGGGGCCACGAAGCGTGCGCGGGGTGTGCCGACATGGGTGGCGGGGACGCACGCGAACTGTGCCACTGGGACCTTCGGCGGCGCTCCTATTGGGCCGCGGGGACGCATGCGAACTGTGCCACTGGGACCTTCGGCGGAGCTCCTATGGAGCCACGAAGCGTGTGAGGGGTGTGCCGACATGACTGGCGGGGACGCATGCGAATTGTGCCACTGGGACCTTCGGCGGCGCTCCTATGGGGCCACGAAACGTGTGAGGGGTGTGCCGACATGAGTGGCGGGGACGCATGCGAACTGTGCCACTGGGACCTTCGGCGGAACTCCCATGGGGCCACGAAGCGTGTGAGGGGTGTGCCGACATGAATGGCGGGGACGCATGCGAACTGTGCCACTGGGACCTTCGGCTGAGCTCCTATGGAGCCGCGAAACGTGTGAGGGGTGTGCCGGCATAAGTGGCGGGGACACATGCGAACTGTGCCACTGGGACTATGGGGCCACGAAGCGTGTGAGGGGTGTGCCGAAATCAATGGCGGGGACGCACGCGAACTGTGCCACTGGGACCTTCGGTGGCGCTCCTATGGGGCCACGAAACGTGTGAGGGGTGTGCCGACATGAGTGGCGGGGACGCACGCGAACTGTGCCACTGGGACCTTCGGCGGCGCTCCTATGGGGTCACGAAACGTGTGAGGGGTGTGCCGAAATGAGTGGCGGGGACGCTGAAACGCATGGAGGAGGGAGGGGGGGGAAGGGCACGGGAGGAGCAGGATGAGGAGACGCGGGGACCGCCTCTTCAAAACGAGGACCCAACAACACAGGTTGGTTGGGAAAAACACAAGGGATTTGCCACATTTCTGAAATTCGATGGCACTCCTCATGCACATCGGCGGGGTCAGGGTAGAAAAACACATGGGATTTGCCACATGTCTTGAAATTCGGTGACACCCCTCACGCAGATAAGAAACAAATGGGATTTGCAACATTTCAATAATTCGTATAATATATTTGTGCACAGCATGCGCGAGCAAGCTCGAAATACAACACGAATTCAACAATATCATCAGAATATCAATGTGTCTTGCCGATTACTCACCGTAAGAGACGATGCGGAGAAGAAGGTGGAAGGCTCCCAAATCCTGGGCCTCCTCGTAGTGTTTGTGGCCTCTTCGGCGGCGCCACCAAGAGTCCTTGGTAGAAACGGGCGGTGGACAAGCACAGAAGAGGAGGCAGCGCATCAGCAACAGCAGCAACAGCGGGAGTATGGTGGAGAGAAGAATAACATAATCACAGGACCAACGACGGAAGGTTGGCTTGACTCCATAGAAAATGGGACGGAGATAACCAAACAAAGACCGGGAACACATCGCGTCGTGAAACAAACACGAAGAAGTGCTGTCGTTGCTAAAAGTCAGTTTCGGGGGGTCCTTCGCAGGCCCAGACAACAATCAACACACCTCCCGGGATGAAAACCCGGACGCGGGGGAGGGGGTCGAAACCTGCAGGGGTTCCAGCTGCGGGAGAATATGATGAATTCGGAGGTCTGTACCAATGGCAGAAAGGCAGCTTCAGCAGGGGAGCAGAGAGGTCAGGAAGAGCAGGCACAAACTACATGGACAGGAGGGGGCGACATCGGATCTCAAAAGGATACGAGGAGAAGGGCGGAAATATGTCGCAGGAGTGAGGGAGGATGGAAGGAGAAAGGGAGAGAGCTTGATGGGCTAGGCGGGTGGCGAGACGGAGTAGGCGTATGATGGCAAACAGGTGGATGGAGATGAGGCGCGTAGCAGCATATAAAGACGACGTTGGATATGATAACGATACATGGCCGTTGATGGGGTCTGTGCTGTTGTGCGTAGCAATTGTCTGGTACCGGCGTTAACGCTCCTTGGATACATGCGTGTACCGATGCTGTCGCAAACCAACAAAACCCCGTATTTCATGTTCACCTGTGGTCATGGTCGTACACCACGTGGTAGCGGTCCTAGTGGCTGCGGTGTCGGCATTGGCTACGAGGCCGAATCACCCTCAATATTGTCACTTGCAGCGCACATAGGCGAGAGCGTGAAACCAAAGGGGGAGGAGGAGGAGGAGGAGGAAGAGGAGGAGGAAGGCGAGGAAGAAGACGAGGAGGACCAGTGTGCGAGGCCAATTTGTATACACCACCACCGCCCGCAACAATCACTTTCCGCAAAAAGGGTTAAGGGCAAGGTCATGCCAGACGACGCTGCGACGCCACGGCGAAAAGGAGCGCGGCGCAGCTCGCAGGCGCCGTGGCATGGGGAGCTCCTGAAGCAAAAACAGCACTTCTTGGTGGTGGTGTATAAAAATCGTTCCCCTTGGTAACCAAACTTATATACACCACCACCGCGCGTGCTTTGATGAACTCTGTTTCGGTCCTCTTAAGAGAAAGGGGGCAGCCCGGTTGCCGTTGGCGGCGGGGGGGGGACTGCGGGCCGTTTTTCGCCAGAGAAAAACTGCACCAAATCGCGTCGTATATTATTCTCGATATTGGTGGTGGTAGTCAGATGCTGTGCTCGGACAATGTAAACCCAATGGTCACCAACGATGTTAAAATAAACCCTCCCTCCAAACTCCCTCTTCACAGGCTCCTACAATAATTCATCACCACTGACGGAACTGCCTCGTCGGAAGGCAACGTTTTGAATATTCTGAAGCATACCAATACAATGTTCCTGGGATTCCAACGCCACGGATCAGCCTGATTGTTGCGTCCTGACGAGCCAAAATCGTGCCAAAAAGCCGTTCTTGGGACTTCAACACCGCGAATCCGCGCCCGCGTAATCTATTTTTCGCAAAGCATCATTTCTGGCACGATGACGTTGGTGATCCGTGAAGCCCTTGTAAGTCTTATAAGCTAATGCGTGCGGCGCTAAGAAGAAAACCGCAATTTGAAAAAGGAACCGCCCTAAATCCGTGAAGCTCTTGTACATGAGTATAATGAATGTGCGCGGCGCGACCCGCCCTCACGATTGTGAAAAACGCCCTACTGAAGCTGATACAAGTGCTTAAAACGAATGTGCACGGCGGTGAAGCGATAGCCACATATTGAAAAACGAGGGGGGGGGGGGGGGAAACGCCCTCAATCCGTGAAGCTCTTGCAATCGTTCAATATGAATGTGCGCGGCGCTGGGGCGTGAACCATATTTTCAAAACCCGCCGCCCTCTATTCGCAAAGTCCTCGGAACTTTTTGGAACCAATGTGCGCGGCGCGAAAGCGAAAGCTTCGGAATCACAAATGACAAAGGGAGTCTCAAGCGAAACGCCCGGCCCGCCTTAAAAACTGGCTTCGGGGCGCGGCAGGGAAAACATATTTACAAGGAGAAGGAATAACGGAGGAATGCGGCGACGACCACGAAGAAAGAGGGACGGGGTAAGGAACCCAGTAACACGCAACATTGGGTTCGGACCTTCGTTTGTCACAAACTGAAGAGGAGGCACGTAAAAAGAGACCGCGCAACACTCGAGTGCACCGAATTTGGCGATCGCGGAATCGTTGGGCAGCCCAGTTCGCGGCAGGGTGGGCCAGTACGCCGCTTGAGTTTAATACAAGAAGAGGAAGAGGGGAAGGAGGAGGGGGAGAAAAGAGAAGCGGAGGAGGGATATATGCAAACACGCTGGCGCACTGAATGTCGTCAACACTGCCGATGAATATTGGTGGGTCCAGTGGCGCCGCTGGCGATGGCTAGGAGGAGCGGCACATGCCATGGACATGTTGCTGTCGGGCCCAAGCTCCTCTTCACATGGACCCTTGCTGGAGAATCGAAGTGCTTGCCTTTTGCATGGTGGTTATCTCCTCATCCTCCTCCTTCTGGCGGCTCCGTCTGGCCCCTTAGCCATCTGTCACCGCTGGCGACGGGAACTTGCAGTAAAGCAACAAACAACAACGTTGGGTTGCAAGGGGCGAATGTCAGTCTGACAAATATACCGCCTTCTTGGACGCCTAAGCAGACGGCCGCCAAACAAGTGGAAGAGGCCCCCCCCCCACACGAACTGTTTCGAGCTCGGGTCCCATCCAGATTTCAGCAACTTCGTAGAACCTTGCGATATGTGATTGCGCGGGGCCCCGTGATATTCCTGGAAGGGGATCTGACGGGCCCGAGGGCCCCCGAAATAACCGCAACGAACGCGCCGCGCGGCCCTGCCCCCCCACTAGCCACATCACGCGGGAAGGGCGACTGCTCCACGCAAGCTTCGGCGGCCCACCGCAGGGAAACGCGCCCACTGCAGCAAGAATCTCCCCTCGCCCGCCGCGTTGCAAACGCGCGCGCGACCCTTCGGCGACGCGCTCAATTGCATGCCCCTTCGCGCCAAGCACAGGCCCCAGGAAACAAGGCCGGGACCGACGGGGCCAGCAGATTAACGTCGGAGGAATCTGTCGCAACTAGATCACCAATTATTCCGGCAATCAGCCATGCCGACTGCCGAATATAAGGGTTTGCGTCTTTACTCTTTCCGTGGACCCAAGGATTGCGCGGTTGGGCCGCGGCCCCCCTTCGGGCCAGCTCGTCTGCCCGCGCAGTTCCCCCGCCATTTTCGATCGTCGGCTCCTGGCCTGCGGGGCTGGACCAGGGCGACGTGATATTCAATCTCAATGAGTGGGATCCAGCCCGGCCCAATCTCGCCAGCTCGATCGAGCATCTCCTTCCGAAGCTCTGAACGCGCAACATGTTCCATATCTCGCGCCGCCCCGACATTCCAAGTGCCCGGGGCAGGCTTGCAACCGGCAGCTACAACCATATACTGTGGGCCCGTGGGGCGAAGCCACATAGGCAGCGCATGGACCTCGCCGCGCCCACGGGTCTGCGCCGCGCGCGGCAGCGGCCAGCGCGCCGACCCAGTCGCGCGCCCGCTCCGGTTGTCCGAGGGCACCGACGCTGCAGCCCATCCAACGCGGGGGAACTGGGACAAACGGGGGTCGGGGCCCGACCCGCCCATGCAAACCCAGGGCCCGATGCATCCATCGGGAGGCGCAGTGCCCCAGGTATATCCAGCTCGGGTATGCGGCGCAGGCCCCTGCCACTTGGGGCCCTTAGCCACCGCGCGGGGCACGAGCCACTCATTCTCGGGCGCGTGGCCGAGAGCGAGCAGCGCGTCAACATCTACCCATCTGTTCGAACGGCGGCGCGGCCTGGGAGGCAACAGCGGCGACATGCTGCCCCCCAGGCTCTCGCCGCAACTGGCGCGGGGGATCGGCCGCCCGGCGGCAGTCATGCAGCGCGCGCTTCGTCGGGTGTCCTCCAGCCACGACACCAGCCAGACATGCGGCCGCCGTGGGCCTCTCGGAGCCCCTGTTCTGGATGACAGGCTCCAGCATGGGCCCTCCGCTGAGCTGCGGGGCCTGGACTCCGTCTCCGAGACCCAGAAAAGCATCTCCGGAACAGCCAGATGCAAGATGACCTTAACAGACCTGCGCTCCGGCGAACAGCGGTGCACTGGCCCCAGTCTTTGACAGTCCAGCCAAAACTTTCAAGTGCGAGGGCAACTGCGCCAGCGGGCTCGCGGACGCCCTGCCGCCCTCGGGCGCCTACCCCGGGCGGGCCGCTTAGCCCCCAGCTAGGGAAGGCAGCGCGAGCATCGCACGACGGGTCCGCCTCCGGACCCACCGCTAGCAGGAAATTCACAGCATGCGCCTACCCTTCGGAGCCCCATAACGAGCGGCACCGAGCCTCGTCCGCGGGTGCCCACGGGCCCCAGGCCCAAGGGCAGAGGTAGTTACCCGACAGCCATGCGTGGCCGACGGAATGCCTCCCATCCTGGCAACCTTGTCCCGATCTGCCACTGCTGTGCCCACGGATCCGCTCGTTCCTGATCCCGAGTTTCTGGGGTCGCTCGCGCGAGATCTTCGAACATTCGGCGCTGTTCTGCATCGCCTGGTCGCAGCCGAGGCCCCGCCCCGAGCTGGCGCCAGCGACGCTCCACTCGCGCAGCCTGGCGACGATCGCGGGGCGCGTTGCCGCCGCATGAATGGGCCGCGCAAAACATGTCGTCCGCGGGATGACCAGCCGCAGCATCTCGCGCTGCAAGAAGAACATGCACTGCGCGAAATTGGGCGTGCGCGACATGCTCCGCGCCGCCCGCTGCCCGCGCTGACATTTCGCCGACGCCGGCAAACAGAGCGACTCTAGCCAACAACGCCCGGTCGGGGTCCAGGGGGTCCATGAGCACA